TAAATATTGAATATTTGAGTCTTATTAAATATTATTATATGAAGTATGCACAAGTCTTTGCTGATAATAATGTTTTTGATGAAATATTGGGGCATCAAAAGACGATATTAGCATACGATAAATTAATAGGCACACGACCAAACAACAGGACTCGATATAATGCTGTACGTTTCACCACAATATAATTTAATATATCAATAGGAATTTAAAGGCAAAATGTTAATTTTGCACTTCCTCCTCTGAGTGCTTACCTCGAAAATAGATAGGTCGGAGCTGGTGACTTCCCGCCTGCCGCTGCCGTACTCTGCTTTGGTCTTCTTCAGGAGACGAAGATCCTCGGCGCCCTTCACCAGCCTGCGACGGTCCAACAACACCAGCGTGTTTAGGAGTTTACATCATTAAAATAACATCAAAGGAATAATGTTAATTAATGAATAGGAACATTTTTTGTGAATAATAAAAATTTAGATATTTCTGGATTAAGTATTTTAAGTAGATGAGGTTACGAAAATGAAAGTGAAGAAAAAATTCTAAGCAATTCAGGATGCCAATCCGACTTACTTTTCTAGTCTGACCGCGTTCGAGCAAATCGAAACAATCGATATAAATTATATAAAAACGTTCCGTTGTGATGGTAGTAGACTGACCCGCAGTCACGGTAGACTAACCCATGGTTGAACTAGTATAAGTTAACCCATGAGAAGTTCATTTTCGCGGAGGGAGCTTGTTTCTCGCCTGTGACGTAACTGATCTCAATGACGTCACGGGCATTAACCAATCACCGAAATGCGTTCAAACCAGTCAACCAATCCGTCATGGGAATGACGGGTTTGTTTACTTCTCTCGATCTACGTGACGTAACAAGAAAGCTGAACTGAAAGACGGAACTTCTCGTGGGTCAACCTTATATAGTTCAACCATGGACTCACCCGTCTACGGAGGCGCAGAGGTAGATAGCCCGTGACGAGGTAGACGTGGTCTTGATGGTGAGCACGAGCTCCGGCAGACGCGCCCTGAGTCGCGCTGCCAGCCATGACACGGCGGCGTCATCAGCGCCTGCGCCGAACTGGATCACCACCTCACAACCCTGCCATTCAAATAAATTATATTTATATATAATAAATATATAACTGGAAATGCATTATATAGTAAACAATTTAATCAAACGAATTCGGTAATGCGGATTTTTTCAAGCATTACGCCTCCTGGTATTTTTGAAACGTGACAACGAATTTATAGTGTATTGCCTGAAAATTCTCGCCGGTTGAGTTCGAGAAATGGAAAATACATGATTTGAACATTAGTGGCAATTTACTCTCGTGTTAGGTAGAAGAACGCTTGGTAAACCCAGTAAGCATAGTTTCCATAACAGTTTACCAAAATAAAACGTTGATATTTAAACACAATCGCAACAAATATTGCGCTCGAGTTATTATAGACTCACCTGCGTAGGTACTGTCTGCATCCAGAGTCTGCGTGGCAGCATGAGGTGGCCGCTCTGCGGGATGGTGCGCCTCAGCAGCCGACTTGCTGCACCCACAAAAAAAGGAAAACGAATTATTAGTTCATGCATAGAGAAAATGCTAGACAGACGAATAAAAAAAATTGATGTTGTCTATTTTTTAATTTCAAAGTACAGCGTAAACTAATTAAATCTTGATGAAATCCACCGTCAAAATTCGGCTAAACAAAAGTATACATGCATAGCATCTATGAAAAACGAATATTCGTTTTTAAAAAATCAAATGGAAGTTTGAAAAACTTCCATTTGAAACTGTAAAAATATAAAGCCACTCCACCGAATCCTGCACCAAGTTACCTCTTTAAATTCGTCATGCTGTCTGATTCTTTTCCCTGCAGGTCCATCTATTAAATCCCTTACCGTTGTTTTGCTGAGCCTGGACATGGATTGCAGGATTGAGCTGCATGCAAGAAGCTGTTTGTCGGGGCGACAGAAAAACAAAGCTTCGACTTCAGCAAACTTCTCCTACATTTGTGGAGTGGCGAACGAAATGCTACAAGTTTAGCTGGTAGACTGGAATATTTTCTTCGGCTATTTGAATGCCATGCCTGCTGGCCCGCAAAATTTTGGCATTTGCTTTACTTCTAAACTTGCAATATGATACCCCCAAAAAGCTAATTTTTAACATATAATAAGTGAAATTTAACTTCAATTCATTTTTTCAGTGGATTTTCCTCATGCCCATAACCAAATTTCATATTTAAACACAGACTATAGGATTACCGACATATTAAATTTACATTTTAAGAAATTGTGAAAACTTTTGTTTACTCTATTTATCATTCATAACCTGCTTTGATTGTGTAAAGGAAATGTTTACAAACTTGAAAAAACTATTTTCACCGACAGTAATTTTTTCACGCATTACTGGAACGACATCCTTCAAGAGATATTAGCTTGTCAAGATTCAAACACTCTTTCGAGCTGTTATGACAAGCCAAAAGAAAAATTGAAGCAACGCTAGCAACGAACTTCCTACCAATATCGTGATGAGGTGACAAGAAAAGGACCAACTGCCACCGCTGCAGACGATGTGATATCTAACGTAGACAATAAAGTGGTAGCGTCTGTACTAACGGTATTCATATCAGTTCACATGCAAATACACAGGCATGAGATGCGATTATGAAAGCAATTGCCATATGTAATAATGAGGCTACATCGGTAATGTTTCTTGTGCAGAAGCGTCTTAGTTGCGTCCGTAAGTGTAACAGCTGAGAGCTACAGTTGCCACAGTGTAACAGAGTCGATGCCTTAGCTGAAGCAGTAAATGCAAATGGCTGCAGTTGTTTCTGAAAAGGGATAATATCACAGCTGCAGTTGTAATAGCCTGAAGTCCCCATCAGCAATCGTATCAGCGTTACTACCACGATTGGAAGCGTAGCAGCGCTAAGGCCGTAGTAACTGCAAGTGTAGCAGAGTTAAGGCTGCAGCTGCACGTGTAGCAGCATACGGGTTACAGCTGCACGTGTAGAAGCGTTAAGGCTGCAGCCGCACGTGTAGCAGCATAAAGGTTACAACTGCACGTGTAGAAGCTTTAAGGCTGCAGCTGCACGTGTAGCAGCATAAAGGTTACAGCTGCACGTATAGCAGCGTTAAGGTTACAGCTGCACGTGTAGCAGCGTTAAGGTTACAGCTGCACGTGTAGAAGCTATAAGGCTGCAGCTGGAAGTGTAGCAGCGTAAAAATTACAGCTGCACGTGTAGCAGCGTTAAGGCTGCAGCTGCAAGTGTAGCAGCGTTAGGCCGCAGCTGCGGTGCCTAATTCTGGCCGCTATTTTAGCGATCCTCGGCCAGTCGATCGATGCGCGCGACGAACGACGGGGACCTGACGGTTGCGGTGGCCTGGTGGCGGCGTGGTTGTGGTGTGGTTGTGGTGTGGTTCTGGTGGCATAGTTGCGGTGGCGTGGTTGCGGTGGCCTGGTTATGGCCTGGTTGTGGCGTGGTTGAGGTGGCGTGGTTGCGGTGGCGTGGTTGTGGCGTGGTTGTGGTGGCGTGGTTACTGTGGCCTGGTTGTGGCTTGGTTGCGGTAGCGTGGTTGCGGTGGCGTGGTTGCGGTGGCGTGGTTGCGGTGGCGTAGTTGGGTGGCGTGGTTGCGGTGGCGTGGTTGTGGCGTGGTTGTGATGGCGTGCTTGAGGCGTGGTTGTGGCTTGGATGTGGTTTAATGGTTGTAGTTGCGTGGTAGTGGTGGTATTGTTGTGGTCAAACGTCTATGCTGTCAGTTCAAAGCAAAATGTTCACATAGAAACCTCCGCGTGAACCGAGCACTTCTACCTACACAAACTATCAACATAAGACCTCCGCAGTACCAGGATCTATTCAAGATTTGCTGGAACTTTCGTTTCAAAGTTGAAGATGCCATGCATAACTTTGCATTGATGAATGCGTGAGAGTCGAGCACTTCAAAAGTTCCATTTGATATTCATCCATTTAATTAAGCATTCGCCTTAGTTTAGAAACACATGACACTCTCAGCAAAGTTCAATGTATATACATTTTCTGTTCAACCAAACCGCTAATAAATTCATTCACTTTTCATTTAACAACTTCCTTTTATTCTAACATATTACTGCGTAAGTAAAAACGGTTTAGTTTTATTAAATTAGTTTGAACTTTTTCCGTGGAAGCAATTTTCAGATGAACTGCTACATCGCGGGAGGCTAAAAACATTGCTTGGGATTCCTCGTGAAAATCAATTGGCGGAATTGATGGGCTGCTCCTGAGCCCCGGACAGCGATCCGCGCTTTAGGATGCCGGGGGCGACCCGCCGGAGCATTGATAGTCTATAGGAACCGGATCGGTGTCTGCAACCGTAAAAATTACTATCTGAGTGTCAGGTATTAATATCGAATTAAAATTTTGCGTGAAAATGAAGCAGAGTAATATTCAGAATGAATATAGAACAGAATAATATTTAGCATGACGATTGACAGAAAAAATTAAAAAAGATGAGAAATTATTTTAACAAAATCCTTGTAAGCAGACTACAATTAACTTTATTTGCAGGACCGAGAAAGAATTACTATAAAATTAAAATTTAGTGTGAAGATGGATCAGAGTAATATTCAGAATGAGGATAGAACAGAATAATATTTATCATGAAAATTGACAGGAAAAATTAGAAAATAAGGGAAATTGTTCCAAAATGTCCTTTGCAGGGCTGAGCTTTCCTGCAATGTACGGCACTCGCCTACAAGCAATTACCCAAAACGTAAAGCCATTATTTTGCGTTCCGCTTCTTGCAGTAGGGAGAGAGAGGGGCGAATGCATCAGGAATCATGTTCCAACTTTTAGAGAATGCGGTTACGCCTAATGGCGTCCGTAAATAAACATCGCAACTGTGGAAACCAACTGTTTCTCGCAACTGTTTCTCGCAACATCGCAACTGTTTCTCGTATAGTCATCGTAAATAAATAATTTGGCTGATAATATTCCACGGCGGGGGTCGAACAAATCTGTTCGGAAATTCTGGTCAAGTTTTTGACCAGTTAACATAAAATGGCCTAGTCCTGGCTGGCCAAATTTTTTTACTTAACAAGTACGGAAAAATTAGCACGAATTTAACTCAACCTGTTTTGATAATTTAAACGTATAATTTTTGCACTTCTCAAATCAACTCGCTTATCTCTTGTACTAATCAAATAAACTCTTTTTTTTTATAAAATTCACTTTTTTTCATATTGTTGGCATGTTTCTTATAATAATAACTAATCTGTCTCCTTAATTTTCGCATTTCTAAACCTATGCTCGAGATTCTCTTTGTTGGAGGAGAATTCGATCTGATGTGGTGCCTGTAAGAGTGAGGCAGCTGATTATAAATGGACGGCCCGATACCACAAACTAAGAATCATCTTCTTAAAAATGCAGCCACAAACAAAGCCCGAGACGAAAACAAGCCATTCATCATGATTTTGTTGAGATGCGCGTTTACTTTTTGCAGAATCTTTGATGTATCTTGATTAAGGACAACGGAATGAATAGTTTTCAAACAAAATTCTCTAACTTTTGTAAGTCATGATTCATTATCTCAAATAGTAACATATCCATAATAAATTTCACTAATAGCCCTACTATCCAAATCACTGGAATGATTTGAGTCATTTTGAAGTCGTACTTTTTTCTTTAGAAATGATTTTGTAAGCTTCATTTAGAGTCCCCGAGCCAATTAGATGCTCATTTGCCGAGTCAGCAATGCGCTACCATCAATGGAGCGTCGGCCTGGAATTCACCTTCCATGCCTTCTATTTGCTGCAATAGCGGATGGCTTATATCAGATATATACAATATAAAACTTTAAATAACTTAAACGTGCTATTTTAAACGTGCGGGCCCTAGTATTTTCAAACCAAATTATTTTTCATCGCATATTTCGTGTCTTTCTTATTGGAAATGAACCTTATTATGATAAACCTTACTATGTCAGTGCACCGCAAAATATACGATGTCTTGATTGGTTGCCCCAAATACTAGTTGATGCTAATGTACGATATTTCATTACTTACTTCGCCTGATCGTCTCAGTTTTACCTTGAGTAATCTTCATGGCGTTTCCTTACCTGCAACAAAAAGGAAAATTTTATCAATTTCCACGTCAAAAAATGGCTCGAAAATAACTGTGAACAATTGCCCTCTTTATGATTTCCCAAATATATTAAGTTTTTCTGATCAATTTTATCAATTTTTAGAGCACAAACTTATGACAAGGAACCGCGTGCGCTGCGAAATCACCGGCTAGCATATCACTCAGCTTGCAGCAGCTGAAATACCCCTCAGCTTGCAGCAGCTGAAATACCCCTCAGCTTGCAGCAGCTGAAATACCCCTCAGCTTGCAGCAGCTTGCAGCAGCTAAATATCACTTTTCGCGCAGACAACCACTAACATCATTGCATTTACCGAAGCTGAACAACTATGGCGGCGGCTACTTGGATTTCACCCGAATCTAGAGCATAGCAGCGGCGCACTCGACGTTTGTTTCTCGCTGAGAAGGATATTATTAGCACCATAGTGCTA